TAGTTTTTATCAAACAGAAGGAAATACTGCATTTGTTGAGAACTATTTTCAACTAATTACCTAGCTAATACGCTAATCAAATATAATCAATTGTTAGCTGTCTAGTAACATCTGATAGGTCAGGTTAGCAAAATATTAGCTAATTACCTAGTTAATCTAATCAATTGTAGATAGTTAAGCTAAGCCATAGTTAATTGGCTAGATAATAGGTAATTACCTAGCTGATGATTTCTGTAGATTAGATAGCTAGTTAGCTCACATTTTGCTACAGAACAAAAACTTGGTAGTGAAGCTAATGAATCTACATTTATCATTAGTTTCTGTTTTGCTAACATTAGCCATCAGATGTAACTAGCTAGCTAATGATTCATATTGATTAGCTAGGTAGCTATCGTTCTGGTCTGTCTGCATTTGTTGGGGACTATTTTCAGCAGTGAATTAATACAGTAACTCCAGATGTGTTGGTTTTATCGTCAGTCCATCCAGCCGCTGAGGACAAGGAAACTGAAGCCTTTCGTGATCTTCATCAAACCTCCCAACCCGGACAGACTGAGACAAAGTCGGAGAGACGCCCGAATCATCACCAACTACACCGTCAACAGAGCCTTCACGGTAATTTCAGAAAGCACCTCGTAGTGAAAGTGACAACACAAATATCACATCTCACATCTTAAGTTAGCAAAACACTAGCCAAGTACCGAGCTAATACAATAAGTGTTCCTCCCTCTGCAGGAGGATGACTTTGTGGAGCTGGAGGAAGTGTCCCTGCTGATCGAGGCGAAGTACAAACAGTTTTTCGATGGCGTGCTGGTGAACGACGACCTGCAGGACACCTGCATGCGGCTCTGCTCCGTCATCCAGGAGGCGCAGAACGAACCACAGTGGATGCCGGTCAGCTGGAGTCGGATGCCGGAGTAAAGCAGGAGAGGAGAGAAACATCAGGATGGGAATGAAGAAATACGAGAGAGAATAAGTGACGGATAAAAGAGGACAATGTTGAGTGGAATATAAAGAACTGGTGACAGGAACAGGAAGGAGACCTAGACATGGAGACAAATGGGAGGTGCAGGAACAGGAGCAGGTGTTTCTTCGTGTGTTTGCCTCCACCCTGAAACCGCAGTGAAGGAAACACGTAACTCAACCGATGGATTCGTCTATAAAGTAGCTTTCATTCTTAGAGGCAGAGTCCGCCATTCCTGTGTGGGATTCGGTTTATCTACTGAAACATGACGGACTGACAGGAAACGCTGCAGCATGTATTCTAGTGTTACTGTTTGTAATCTGATCGACCAGCAGTCGTTAAGTGAACTGCAGTCAGCGTCCTGTTGCTTGCTACACTAGACTGAAGCTAGTTAACAGTATTTTAATACATTAGCTAGCAAGCAATTAATCTGTGTTAGCAATCAAACAAACGTCCTAACGTTATCCAGCTAACTGCACAATCAGGCAATATGTTCCACAAGCTTTGTAGTAATGTTAGCTTT